CACCCACTTTTGGAGGGCAGTTAAGCACAAAGACTTAAACTGAATGCATGGCGGGTTGACAAAATGGGGTCAGAGTCCCAAAGGGACGCCCGATGGCCCCCAGTGGATCTGCCTTTCAATAGTCTTCCCAAAGAGGGAGAAAGCCGCATGCGCACAAAGCACTTGGATTGCGTTGACCTCCTTTCTGCGAAAAAAATGAAAGTTTGGGCCTGAAGGAGCAAGGTCCAGAGCTAAGCAAAGAACAGAGTGGTGTTTGGAAGAGTGCTTGAAGTTAAGAAGGCGTACCGTATGCATTTTGGCAAGCTACCCCAGTCCGCAACACTTCCCACTCTCAATCGGTTATATGACCAAATTCGAGGAATCCTGAAGGCCATAAACAATTATGTAGTAAGTTCGCTTGCTTGTGCATCAAGTCTTGGTGGCTAAATTGATCACAAACAACTGGAAATGTCGCCCGACTCTCATACGTATGTGTCAAAATACGGGACCCCACAACTTGTGTTCCTTTTGCTCTTCCTTTTTATGCCAATGCGAAAAGGGCAAGCGCGCACGCACACATACTGTTTGCTGTCGCGCTGCCGACCTGCGTGCACACGGCGATGAGGTTCCCCAGCTTCTTGCCCTCTGGCAGCTCAGCCACGAAAAAGGGCAGCTCGGCCTATCTTGCCAGTGCGAAACCCAAGAGGGGGTTGTCTCAAGACACACCCGGAAAGAACATGAAAGACTCTGAGGTCCGTGTTGACACCCTTTTGGGTGGGGGATTAGGTTCCATTTTAAGAAGTTTCCTTGGAATAGCACGGCAATTTGCCCTGATGTTCTTGCCGATTGTGTGCACCAAAGCCCAGCTTTCTTGTTCTGTGCTGAGCACAAAGATGCACGTTTGTATTTGTCCTTTTGTTGGCTGCTGGATCCCAATGGGAGCTCTGTCTTGGTTAGCCTTCTGGGAGAAAAGGAGCTGATTTCAAAGGGAAAACGGAAAACAGTCCCCAAAAGAGGACAATGCGGGACAGACTGCTTCTTGTTGGCAAGGTAAGGCTAAAGGCAAATCTACACCCCAAAAGCGAAACAACAAGGTCTTCGGAGATCTCCTGATTTCCACTAGAACTTTTTGAGAGTAAACAGGGAACTTTTTGCAGCTGAGGCGCAGTGATGATGTTTAAGCTCCACCACCCGCTCCTCGGCGAGGCAACTCGGGACTAGCGGGCTGCCAAAACTGTGTTGCGTTTCCCTCCCAAACTGTTTGCGACATGGCCACCATGGATTCCCCTACAGGGCTTCGAGCCCAAAAGGAGATGCCTTTGAGGGCTCGAGGGCGTCAGGTCAGTTTCCAATCTGCAGGTTGACCCTAGCAGTTGCCCCTTGGTCAACGTAAACCCAAACATTATCTCCCGAACAACAAACATCAGCTCATCAACGGATCTGAGCAGCACATGTCGGAAGCAACACATCAGTCACAAAGTTTGCCACAGTTCGCCCAAACACGCCTGCACGCCGTGCACGCTTGCTATGGCGAGTACGTTGACCTTTCTCTTCCAAGCATCTCCTGTCCAATCATGTGTTCAGAACATAGTGGCAAACGGTTCAGAAGATCGATATCTTCATTCTATTCCTCACCAAACTGGTTCCGGGAGCCTTCACACTTTTTTGGAATATCACGACGAGACTCAGAAAATAGACATATCAACTTGATTCGGCCTTGCGAACATTCTCTTCAATTATTGGAAGGTTCCCTGCCACTTGCTTACGCAACAAGTAACAGTCATTTCTTTATCCCAGGCCAACCCCTCCCCCCCAGCCAAGTCGCATCCCGGTAAGACACCACCTCAGTCCCCCTTCCCAAACGGAAGGGATCGTGCGGGGGCGAGGGGGGGGGGACAGGAATGCACGGCGGCTTTTCAGAATTGCAAGTCTGTCTAACAGTTTTAACCGTGTTTTCAGAAGTTGCTTAATCAGAATCAGGGATCCTCTAAATCAGTGGGCAGAATATCGTCTAAAGGCTCCTTTCCTGAAAGCTAAGAGCAGAACCACCCCCCCCCAAATAAACCCCAAAGTAGCGGAATTGCACCCAATGGTAGGCTATTGGGGCTCCATGTTGATTCGGGTGGTGCTCGTAATGGGTGGTGCAACCACAATTCTATTTGGGGTTCCGTTCCTTTACAGTAGAGGAAATCAACATTGTTGGGTGACTTCTCCAGACAACTTCAGGGAAACATCGAGCTAAGGGTGCTTCATTGGTTCAATTGCGTAGGCTTGTCATCTTGGTGGCTATTACCCTGCCCGCCAAACGCTTTAAACTTTCAACCTGGCGGAAAATACACACACTGCGTACATGCTTAAAGTCAACTACCGATTTGCCGCTAGGGTAGGGGCAAAAGCTCCGTGTTTGATCGTTCACCCTTGGCGCGGGACAAACACAAATGTGTGACCATTGTGACACAGCGTATCTGAGGCATCCGCGAGGAAATCTCTGCACACACGGCCTCCTCAGGGAATGCAGGCGGATCAATAGGACCTGGGGGCTTCCTCTTGCAGGTGTTCCCCTCCAAACAAAGCCAACACCAAAAGGGACCCCCTATGCTAGCAAAACCCACATGCAAGAACGGTGCACCAAGCATGCCGCGTCTGCATCCATGACCATCGTGTGGCAACCAGAGCTTGTGCACAATTGCCATAGGCACTGGTTCAGAACATTTGTCGCACCAAGCAATTGGTGGCACATGGGTTTATACATCCGAGGTCCCGCTTGGGACACTGGAAGCATGCGGCTGTGGCCGACAAGGGCATTCCGTCAAGCCCACCGGTCTGGGCCAAGGATCCGACTTCGGCTAAAATCGAAGCTCCCCCTGCTGATTCGCAAACGCAGCTAACAGAATCAACCAACTAAAGAAACATGCTAAGCTCACCTGGAACCTTCGGGGAAGCACGGCAAAAGCTAATGGTTTGCATAGGCCCTACGACTACTATGACTACAATCCACAACTACCTCAAGTCGTAGTCTCTGGGCGCTGCTCACGCGCGATCGCATTGGCAAAGGCGCAGCCGGCCCCGTCCTGGTCATCCGGATAGCTCTCGCCGCTCGCCACCCGCACGAGCCCCCGGTCCGGGGAGCTCGCGAAGCTCCTCGTCAGGTTCTCATCGTGGCCTGGGTCACGAGAAAGGCTCTCACTTTGAGACCGGGGCCTTTTGATTTGCTTGGCTAAAAAGCCAGGCACAAGATCAATGGGTAACTATGTCTTTGTTAGAGGGTAAGTTGATTGTGGAAAGTCTCGTGCTGGGATGAAGGAGCAACGCATATTGCAAGTTGTAGCAGGTTTCAGATCAAGATGATCAACCGCAATTAGTCAGAGGGCGGCCCTCCAATACCAAGACCTGAGTAAACAATCGATCCCCACGGGATCTTCATCGTGAGTGAGCTCGTTGTCAACCTGGCGATCCTTGCAATTTAAGTTGTGCACTAATGGTGGTTAGCAACTTCGAAGGGATGAAATCAACAGTGACTCGTAGAACGATTCTCCATTTCGAGATCGGATGTAAGGCTCCAGTGGTGCACAAGACGCGCCCTCTCAACGAACGTGTTGGTTTTTAGAAGGGAAATGGGACGATTTGCCTCACTCAGGTTCCGCCGCCGCCTGTTGTTGAAATATTAAAACACAAGCAGCTCAACTATATCAGAAATTCATACACCGACTAGATGCCCTACCAATTTGTTCAGATGAATCATTGAATGCTTAGCATGGTGTTACAAAACATGTTCTGGTTTGCATTTTTTTGTTATTTTGAGCTGGCTCCTTGCCCCCTCTGCCATGCAAAAGTGTATCAGATGCAAAAAATTGACTTAAGGTGCCAGCAGAGTATTCACCGGGCACTACAAACAGCGAATGCAAATGGTCACGTGCAATGATAAAAGCAGATCTTCGGCCCCTTCATTGCTTGTGCTTGTCCGGGCAGGGTCTCCGAGCTTACTTGTTGAGTGCTGATGCTTGCCAATAGCACGCGCAAACAACAAATACCAAACCACTAACGAATTAATGCAGCACGCTGCCGAGCGCAACAGTGCAACAGCTTTCGAGATCCGTCATGAAGAAGAACACAACAGGGCACTTGATGGGCCAACCCCTCCTGCTAGTGACGGAAGCAAACGCGCTACGTTACATGCGTGGGATGTTGCACTTTGTAGCCATGCTCTGTATCCAAAGCATGGCTTACGGAGGCGCAATATAGGAACATTTCACCTCCCAAACAGCCTCACGAGGTGACTCGGGCCCCGGCTTCGCGAGCTGGTGGTCAAGGGCAACATGCCGAATGCCCAAATGCCGCGAAGCCCGAGGCAAACCGGTGGACCTGTTTGCAACCGTGTTTGGGGTAATTCTGGCATACCTCCAGGAGGAAACCGACACATTCGGGCGGCCAAGCATATTGCAAAATTCAGCCACGCTGAGGTCAATGGCTACTGCTGCAAAGGGGGCTGTCTCAACTGTTTGGGGCATGGTACCCAAAGCCAAAGAAGTCGGGAGCGCTTTGGGGGGCACTCGTGCTTTCGTTTCCCATGGTAAGAACTACCCAGAGTGGAGGAATGGATTTGGTTGGGTGCTCCCTTGTTCTCAGCCAGGTGGTTTGCTCCAAGTTGTGCATCACTAGAAGAAATGGCTCGAGCAGCTGCGGCAGAGTGATGCAACACTCTTCTGCACACGCCTTTTCCAAAATGCCCCCCCAATGTTACCTAAGCTTAAGTTGATACACCCTCTCCACCTGGAGACAACTTGCTGCCCTTGTTGCCGGGGCTTTGAAAGGTTACGTTGTGCTTGTCCGGTGCTATTGACAAGAAGAGAAAGGCCTCCATTGAAGCTGGCATGTTGGTGGCGGATTAGATACTCTTCCGGGCCTCTGCTCCTGCAAATTCACATAGAACGTCAAAGGCTCTTCGCAGTTCCAGGGTGCAACGCTTCCGTCGATATCTTAGCCCATTCCCGGCTCGGCTGTCCTTTCCTGAAGGCCCCGGCGCTTGCCGGTCCTCCGTCGCGTGCCTCGAGAACTCGAAGTCCGGGGGGAAGGCGCGGAGGCCTACAGATCGGACCATGGGTGGGACCCATGGGACCCATGGGAGCACCCCCGGGGGCCCAGGGCCCAAAAGGAGCTTCCTCTACTCAGGGGTTCGGGGTACCTTTTGCTTTTTTGATGCTTGTGTTCTCGATTGGAAACACTGGGTTTTGGGCTATCGTCTTCAAAGGACCTCGCCACTTCCATGATTGTTGACAACAGGCAAGCAGGGTTTCCTATTTACCAAACAACCGTCTATAATGGGGCAACCACAATTGTGCAACCTGCTGGAGGGAATCATGTTTGGCCAGCCAAGCTATCAAGCCTGTGCAAAAACGATGCTCTAACGCCAAGTCAAACCATCGGTGAGCAATGCAAGCCTTGACTTCAGTGGTTCCAGTGGAAACGCACGTATGCAACGCGAGGCATCAACATGATATGTATATATATATATATGTAAGTATTACTCATATGGGCGAGTGAGAAAGACAGTGATAACCCCGCCTACCATCTGTATGGCCCCAAACACCCCTCCATTGTCGCAGAGTGTGGTGGGAGAGCCCCCAGCTCCATAAATCTAGTGTTCCTGGGAGTCACGCGCTCATCCCCCAATTCTGCATCTTCCATTCATTGGATCTCCTTATTACACCGAGAAACTTCACAAAGCAACATTACAATTGGAATCTGACTGGGCCAAACGCCGTGAACATAGATCTTTGTTCACTAGTTTACTGCCAATTCTGAAGTCCAGGTTCTCAAGAGACTGTATACCTTTGCCTTCTCACAGTTCAAACCCTTTGGACCTTCGCTAACCCGAGTCTTCCAGCTGAGCGGCCCAGGAAGGTGGTGATGCGATCGAAGGCCTCCCTCGGCCGGCTCCGCAGCAGCTCAAACCTTGCGGCGACGGCTCCCTTCGAAATCAAAAGGGGGCGGTTGCGCCTTGTGAATGCCGTCTGTTCGGTTTCTGAGACACCCTGGGTGAAATGAATCAAGCAGAACCACACGACAAATCAAGTCTCAAACAGCGGGTCTAAAAATATCTGAACCTCCAAAATAGTTTTGGAGAACCTCCCCGAATTGCTTGCTTCAATGAACCCGGTAAAAGTGACATGGAGAAGAAACAGCGCACATGTCCTCTCACGAGTGCAGAAAGCAGGTTCCTTACATGCCCTCTGCAAAGATACCAAAAAGAGACGCTCAAATACAAAGGTGATGTTTCACCCACCCACCCACACACCTCAAACAAGCAAAAACACAAGGTGAGCCTTTGGTTGAAGCCTCAACCCGTGTGAAAGTGACCAAGCCATCTCTCAGTGCCGAGCTCCAGCAGCAGAAGCCTTCCGGAAGAGGGTGGGAAGAACTTGACCTGGACCCGATGTCAATGTTCAAATTTGTTGGGCAGTAAAGTTGCATGGAAAGAGAGAGAGAGAGAGAGAGAGCGAGAGAGAGAGAGAGGGGGGCGGTTCAGGCCGAAAAATCCAACCTCAAAAAAAAATGGATACAGTGAAACGGCGTGGTAACACGCTGATGATGAGCGGATTGGCCAAACAAGCCTTAAGACTTAACTTCTTCGCTTGTCAGCCAAATTGTGCCCCCTGAAAAGATGAAGTCCATAAACTCACGGAGTGAGAAATAACATGGGCGGAAAAATCAACTTGAGAAAGGCTGGACCGAAGCTGAAGCTGGCACTGTTTGCCAGGGCAGTGAAAGCTTCTCTAGCCATTGGCTTCATGTTCTGCGGCTGGCTAAGTCCAAGCCTTCAAGGGGAAGGATCCATTTATTGTCCTCACAGGGGAAACCATAATTTCTGTATCTGCGCGGCTGAGTCCAAGGCGGCCTGCTCCAAAGACTGGGACAGAAAGGCGTCCTGCAATCGCCAAAGTGAAGGCAAACAACTCTGTCAAGCAGAATCCGGCTCATGAAAAGGAGGAGCCCGGGGAGGACTCTAGCAAAGGCACAGCTGCAACCCTGTCAATCAAAAGTGCCTCTTGTAGACTGGGCAAATGGTTCAATCTGACAAGAGCCCGCTCAATGCTTGACCACTGTCCCAACAGAACCCGAAAGAGGACCACCAATATGTAGAACAACACTGTAAGACTGCCACCAGTAACCGATTCAACGAAAAGGGGGCAACATGCGACAACCGTAATCCGGCACTCCTGCCTGATAATTACTCATTGTTCTCCTATGATCATGACTTCATATGGTTGTCAACTTCACCACAGCCCGATCCTGCCCGTTAGCACTGCAAGTGGATTCGGTCGTGTTCCTCTCAAAAGGCTTCGTAAAGAAAGTCGATGCCGTCTGGTGTCCTCCGCCTTCACGTCTTCGAAGGTGGCCCCGTGAAGAACCACGTCCTACACAGGGCCACTTCAGTCCGGCTAGGTCGGTTGCCGGGCAATTTGTCGCTGTTTTGGGAGGTCACCGCCCCCACTGCTTGGGGTTGACTGCGGCAATGGCTGAGCCAAAGTGACCTAAAATGGTGAGCGGCTCATGGTCCGCTGAGACCTCAAGTTTACAATGCATTTCATAAGGAGGCTGTGGACTTTCAGGATTCCCTACATTCCCCCAAAACCCAGAGCTTGAGCATGAGGAACCTTCGTTGTCACGGGGCCAGGCAGTTTGCTGTCTCAGTGCCTCCAGGGTGGGAATCTCTGGACACGTCTTGTGGTAGAGGCACCTGGCTCGAGCACAAAAAACTCCAATGCATCGTAGTCCAACTTTACCAAATTTGAGCTAAACATTGGCTTTCTGGCCGAACCAGGTTGGGGAAACCACCCAGTCCTGGAGTTCGAGCATGGCACTGGGTGAAACAAGAGGCTCACCGGAGATGGCAGTCCAAGCCATGTACCTGTTTGCAAATGGTATATATATATATATATAGGGATATACATATATGTTCAATGTCTACACCTGCATGTGACTACCATATGGCTACGCATAATATCCTGTCGGGGTGCGGTGGCTTGAAACCTTCAAGCTACTCGACCAAATTGCGTTGAATACGCGCAAGGCCAGACTTGCCACCCTCAGCCCAAAAGCAGCAAAAAGAGTCTGAGATGCGGGCTCGAACTTCCGCAGGTTGTACAAGGACCTCATCAAGCAACCTCCCTGTTGCTTTTGCCGCCTCCACCAACAACATGCTCAAAAGCGACAACCTACTGGGGCCCCTAAATCAATTCTAAATTCCTTGCCTAACTCCTTGCCTAACGGCCTCAAGGGTTCCACGCCAGGATGACTGTACACTGTAAAGGTTAATACGCCGCCTCACAACTGCTTTTTGCGGGCCTTTGAGTCAGTCAAACATAACGCAATGAAGATAATGTAATGTATTGCTGAAGCATTCAAACATTGGTTTGTTCTCGTGGCGTAGTGCTGCATGTTCCGAGGGGCCAAGAAAGCCCATCCAACTTGTGCTTTGAGAGTGCCGAGGTGGGTGGGTGTGAAAATAGCCCATTGGTGGTTCGCTTTGGCTTCCTCCTAAACACAAACCGCTGCCCTTGAGAGTTGTTCACTGGGGATCTCAGCGCCTTGCTCCAGCCACTCCACTGGCTCACGCACCATGATGATCAGCCGCAAGTTGGGGATCTGACGGGACACGCAGCTGAAAGGTTGAGGAGGTCAGCTTCCCTGTTTCTTTCATTTTTTTGGGGGGTAGGGGCGTGGGGGGGGCTGGGGGCGGGTGGGGCTGCTTGTTGGAAGGACCGGGCTTTGCGGCTGTACGGCCATTCAAAAGGTTTTCTGCCTTATCTGCAATAGTTGGCAAAGAGCCCTGACTATTGTTTTTGTCGGGGCATCTCCTGGCACACCCCTACAGCAGCAACCTGGCTTCCTTGAAAGAACAGGCGCTGGACACGCTTGGCTCTCCGGAGGTAACAACCCCAAAGCTCTTTGGCATTCTGCCCAGTGATGCTGCGATCAACAAGATATCAATACAAAAGCTCATTAAGCATACACGAGCGATGCAGCCCAGCAGGCAACACATGCAGGAGGGCGCAGCTTTGACAAACGCAGAAAACCGTTGATGGCCTGCAGCATCGTTCCTACTTGGTACTGATGATGTGCATTCGGGAAGAGCAAACAAGATTTCCAAAGCCAAATGGGCGCAGGCAAGAAGTTTCTCCCCGTACCCAGCATCAAAAGTGACAAAGTCGGGGTTGATTTCGGATTTAGCCCGACACATTGTTTGCCACAAACACCAGAACCAAAAGCTCAGAGACAAAGAGCGCACCGTCAATTGCAAAGGTGATCACCTTTTCGGACACTCCCAAGAGACCCTTTTGGGACCATATCCCCGGAGGTCTGATTGGGTTTGGTTGCTGAGAGGCTGCATAGTCTTTTGACATCCAGGGGCGGAGTGGTGGATTCAGTCCTGTAAAGCTTAATGTATAGTATTCTACCTTAGGACTCTGGAATTTCTGAAGCTCACGTGTCAGCCGGGCTTGAAAATGACCAAGCAACTACCGCAACTACTCGGGATTCCTTGAAACTTCCTTTGTCCCTGCAACCACTGCTCAGAAGACAGCAACAAACGACCTGCGAGCTCCCATGCGCCACTGTCTCACCTGAGTTTAACCTGTTGGAGCCATACAAAACTTAGGATTCGGCCGAAATTGGGCGAGCAGGAGTGTCCAACCAACTCAAACCGACCATGGGCCATGAAGTTTTGCCTTGGACTCGCACTCGGTAAATCGTGAACGACTCAAATGCCTTGGAGGCCAACCGGAGCACCCGCCGACCTGAAGCAGGCTGTGCTCCCGTTCAACGACTGGGTGGTGGGTTTCTAGCAAAATACTTCATTCAACCCGTTGTCGCCCCATATATGTCAATCAAACAGCGGAGCAAATTTACAAATCCAGGACTTCGACCTTTGCAGTCTAATTGCGGCTTCCGGCAAAGTCCAACACGAGGCGCTCCGGTTCAAGTCACAAGCGGCTGAGGCAGCAGCTCAGCGCCACACCTTCCCCTCGGACAGAGTGTCGAACCCAGCGAGTTCCGATGAGCATACATGGGGCTGACAGTTGGCGGGCAACCATGGGTGCTAAATACACTCGGGACAGAATAGATTATCGCACAAGTACCCGCCATTTTGGTTTAGTCATCCCCTTTATGTTGTCCACATGGAGAAAATTGTGCCATCTATACTTTCACCCGGGTGTAACAAGGGTGTGTGGCTCCGGGCGCGTACAAACTTGGGGGGTTGGGGGAACGCTGCGGCCTGCAAGGGGGAGGCCCAAAAACCGCCATTTTTGTAGGCAGGGGCCCTCAAAGTTTTGAGTGCAAGAGAAGCTAGGTGCAGTGGCAACTTGACGGCTGTCTGTGCCCAAAGCCGGGGAAGTGAGGTCCGAAATAGACACAAAGCAGGCACACCTGAGCAATGGCAATGACTGAGTGCGCCACCTTTGCCACCCCACAGGCGAGGCCTCACAGCCAAACTGCAAGCATGGTGCCGCAGTTTGCTCAAGAATAGCAAACATATCTGGTGGCCAAACGGCAGTTTGTACAATTGAGCGTATGAGCCATGTCAAAACAGGTTGTTACGTGGACGTGGCAAAATTACCACGCCCCCTCGCTTGTTCTCGATCAGCCAGGCAGAAACCAGTGCCCAGTCCTGGATAGGCCAGATACAGGGTTGTCTCAAGGAGACCCTCAAACAAAATGATTGGTTTCCTCCTGGTTCTTAACAACCCAGAAAAGGGCCCCAAGACATCACCGCTGTTTTCTATGGCTGGTGCCCTGGAGCAACAATTGGCCCTGCATGCGAAAGCTACCGCATGAGAAATACCATGGCAGGATAGCGGCAGCTGGCAAGTTCAAGTCAACTCAACAAAACGTGAGACTGACAACTCCATTGTGCAGCTGGATCCAACAAAACAGTTCCAACTGGTGATTCGACGGGGGTCTGATTTATGCTTCGCCTGAGGGATGCCTTTGTGGGGTCGCTATTTTTTGCCAAAGGGGAAAGCAAACAATTGTGCAATATGCAGTCACTTGCCCAATGGAACTGCACAGAATATGTTAAAGCTTCTGGGGTTGTGACAACCACAACATGGGAAGACCCCCATAGGACAATTCAGGTCGATTCGCAGTGGGCGAGTGAGAACGGGCCCGCAGCAACATGAGGGTATCGATATTAAGTGGGGACAACCAATAACATCAGCCAAACATGGGCGTTTACACCCTTCTCCAGCAAATTTGGAAGTTAGTACAGTTGGGCAAAAGTCGACGGCACACTTTCCTGCATTTGGGCGTTGTTCCATCTACTTTCAGCACCGCAACTCGCCTGCTCTCCTCCCTGAAGTTGGCCATGTAGTTCCAAACCTGCCCGTCGGCGCCAATGGAAGATCAGCTCCACAAGATGCTGCTCACTTGTCCCCCAAGGGATATGTTATCTTGATTCCACGGCTAGTTAGTCATTACGAGCCCCATTTTCCCTGCGGGTAGTGGTTTTGCGGTTCTGTTTTCCAAATTAGGACTCGTGCTTCGCAAAATAGGGAGCGAATCCTTTTTGTGGATGAGTTAAAGGAATACCCGCTTTTCCAACTGTTGGAAACGGCTTTATACACGCTACCGGCATTGTTGAGTGTACCCGGCTCGGCGCGGTTTCAAGGCCTGCAGTTGCTGTGGCAGAGCAGCCCAGTTGAAGGTCAACTCCTGCTCCGCAATCTTCACCTGACAAGAGCCGGTTCGATTCAAAGCTTACAACAGGCGAGTTTCTAGAACTGGAGGGTGTCTCCCGGAACGAATGCCTGACAAAGAGATGCTGCAACCATTGAATGTACGTTGATGCCCTTCTTTGCATATTCACTGCTCCACTTTGATCAAAGCACAAAGCCAGGCCTTCATGCCAACACCCTGTTCAGCTTCCCCAAACGTCTAAAACTAATTGGACCTTTCAGTGAAAGGCTTCGGGACCAAATACCTGGGAATTCTATTAAAACCAAACCGCTTGGATCCCCATTAAGCCAGCGCCTTCCTGCAAGTAACCAACACCCGTTCGTATGTGGAGTAACTCTTCCAGCAGGATGGCCAGGAGCTTACCTGACAGCTCCAGCCTTACTCCACTTTCTAGAAGTTGCCCCCCCCCCTTGGGTGCATTTGTGTTCTGTCACCGGGAAACATGCATAGAACAAGGGCCCTTTTTCGTGGCTGAGCATGTCGGCTGGTGGGTGTCACAACCAAACCAGTATCGCTCCAGCAGAACTTCCTTGAATAGCCTTTTCCGAAGCAGCTTGTTTCGCATTGGGAACTCTATTTTGTTCTATGTGGTGTCGACGGCAAACCTAAAGGACAAAAATAAATACCTCCCCTCTCGCCCCCTCAGCAGGCAAACACTCACATGCCTCAGGGTGCTGCATGAGGTTGCCACCTCAGGGCATGGCAACAAAGGCTGAGTACCGCTGAAGGTTGGAAGTGCCTTTGATAAGTGCCCTGTCATCAAACACAAGTATCGCGCTCAAACATATTGATCCCATCACCGAAGTCAGAAATGAACCCCAAGAAAGGCTGAACCTGCATCATGGGCAGGGTTCATGTTAACTTTAAATTGTATCTGAAGGGCCCTACTAGTCATAGAAAGCTCCTAGAATAGATTGTTGCCTGGCCTAAAAAGGAGCCCTGATTAAGATAGTCCTCCGGGTTCATCTGAAGTCAAGCTTGGAGTTTGCCAGCACGGGTGGCTGTCCTTTAGCCAGCGCTGGCTTGGACCCGCAACCCCAGGGCCCGCGCGTACCGAGTGAGTGCCAGAGCGTGCGAAGCCCGCGATGAGAAAATCAAGCTTTACGTCCTCCCAACCTGAGGCAGTTCACCCACGTGCATGGACGCGTTGCTCAGCTGTAACAGAGGCCGAGGTGTCAAGAGTGGAAGAACACTTGCTGACCCAGACCTCCCAGCCACACTGCACCCGATTTAAGACTGCACCTTAAAATCAGATGGCCGACCTTGGTCTGATGTAAAGTTCCCAAATGAAAGCTCCGATGTCTCAGGCCAGCAGGCTTTCGAACGAAGCAATGCAAGGACCAAGCGAGGGAGAGAGAAAGAGAGCAGTGAGAGAGACCGTGAGAACAACAAACCAGAGATCGAGAGAGGGTAGAGGGAGAGAGGGAGAGAGAGGAGATAGAGAGATAACAGGGATATGATGTGCACACCCAAAGGAAATCAACTGCTAATCGGTCAACCTTCCTCCTGGCCGTGGGATGCACCTCGCGCGTCAAGCACTTCTGGCGCCATTAAATCAGAGTGGCCGGCGCATAGGAGCCGGACAGCATGTAACACATCCGCGGCCTTCAAAGGACACACCTGAGCCCATTCGACCACATACTATATGTTTACATACAACTATATCTAGATGATGCATATTGTGCAACTTGAGGCCCTTGTGCTCCAGCCTTTGAAGGGACCACAAGCAGGTTCCTTGGGAACCCGCCATTGAAGCATGCAAGCACTGGGCATCAGCTGTCTCCGCACCCAACACGTTGCAGTCCGCAAAGGGTACCTGTCATGGCCGAGGATCGAACAGGCACAAAGCTAGATTAATAGGAATCCGATAAACATGAAAAGATCTGGCTGAAAAACAAATGCAGCTAAGTAATTACTTCCTTCAGAAAACAAAAAAGTCCCCCGAAATAAGATGCATTGCTCTCACAGTTTCAAAGTTGCCATACCAAATGCAGAATAGGCCAAGTTGTTAACCAATACTAAACTAGCGATTTCTCCCGCTGACCCCAAGTAGTGGCTTATTCGGGGACCCTCAGGACCAAAAAACAATCTGCAAGCAGAAGAGGGCCGAAAACGACCAAAAAGGAAGGAATCAGTGCCCCTGAATAACTTAAACTATCGTTTCCCTCGAATTGTTGTTTGTTGGTCGGGTTCCCCCTGTTCTAGTATTAGGGGAAATAGATTATAGCTGTCTTGTGGAAAGAAGAGATGCAGCAGAAACAAATCACTTCGCATGGACATGCTTGCCACAAGATCCAGAAGGACGACTTCAACACCACACCCACCGACAGATTTGAGAGCTGGCTTTGTCTCCAAACATGTTGGATCCCCACATGTGGCTTCTAGTTCCCTTTTAAATTTTAGAACCATCCAAAACGGGCACCTGCAAATAAATCGTCACACGCCCGGCTCTCAACCGGGTGGTCAGCCTCCGAGCACTACATGGCGTACTTCCTGGTCCACTCGGCTGCCTGCGGGAAGTTACCGACTAGTAACCTGCTGCAACCACGGGGTTCCCGATCTCTCCCTTTTGAATTTGAAGCATCACGTGTTTTAGAGGAAACTAGACAAAGGGACCCTTTTTGGGGGTGACCCACATGAGTCACAATCAAAACCCGGTAAAATGGCCTACCCAAAATAATGTAAAGAACCATGAAAGCGGCCGCAACCAATTCTGGCTGGGATTCTCCCTTACTACCCTCCAATTGCCCGGGTTTTGATTGTGACTCGCATTGTGTTCTGGGGAGAGGCACTCTCATGCTCAACTAGCCTCACTTCCTGAGTGGATCGGCTCCAACACAGCCTGCACTTGGTTTGCCTACGATTGAACTGGTAGTTCCAAGGATCGATTTGCGCATCACCTGTTTAGACTACAAGCACGGGAAGCTTTCCAGTTGCCCCAATTGCCAAGTTGCCTTCAAGGCAATGGCTTCAAGGCACCCCTCTTGACTCTTTCAAGGTGCCATCCCCGGAGTATAACCGTCCCAAGCACCTGGAGACGGAGACAAAACATGCCTGGGAGGAGGGAGCCTAAGGAATCTGAGGCCAACCAAACCCCAACATTCTACCTCACTTCTCCCATCTCCCCAGCATCTTGCTCTTTAGATCGCCCAGCATCAAGCCTTGGAAACGCCTGGCTAATCAATGAGGAATGGGTGAGAGTCCAACGAGAAGGAGTGAACGAATCAGCCTCCGTGTTTGTGGAAAATGATGATAAGGACCGTGAGCTGTTAATCCGAATCCGGCTGGGGCCCCATAAGGATACAAATGGCGCTGCAATGCTCCGGATAGCCGGGCACAGTAATGGCAGTCTCTAAGTTACCCACTTGACCAGTTCGGAGATGTTAGGATTGTGCCACCTTGGGCATGCTGAACCTGAGTGATGAATCAGCCGTTCTACTCGGGAGTTGCCACTGAACATTAAATATAGCCAAGCATAAGCCGGCCAGCTCTGCATCGTCTCAATCATCATCAGCGTCCACTATCATGGCTGCAATTACTGGGGCACCACTTCCACAACATGCTTTCAGTGGGAGAAACCTGTAGGCGCGTGAAGTAGGAAAAGGACCGCACAAACATGATAACAGCTTCCTCCCTATTGGGAACTCCACGCAACTGGGGCACCGATGATTTGTATATAGGGTGGCGGCAATAGAACCATCATCTTTGTTTGCGTAGCTCCTTGGAGGAAACTATAAACAGCGGTAAGCACCCTGCATTCCATTGCGAAGAACGATGGGTTGTACAACCACTGAATGAATCAATGCAGTTTAGGAAAATGTCGTTGCTGTGGCAAGTCATTGTCAAGGGTTTCTCCTGCATGGAAAATCCTTCAGAGAAGTGGAGCTGTCTGAACGGTTGCCCTGGAGAATGATCGAAATTAGCGGGGTTGATTGGTTTACGTGGGGAACCACTGGGGAACCCACCTAAAGGAAACAGGATTTGGAGGGTGCCACTGAACGGCGTTCTGCGCCAGTGCCTGGTCCCTGAAGGCCTCTGGTGACCTGCGCAGCTGCTCGTGCGCATCCATATTGGCGCAGCCTTCCTCCGTGGGCTCCTGAGCGCGTTTCGATTTGGCCAAAACCATGTTTCCATCCCAAATGGGGCAATCTAGGGAAGGTCTAAAACAAAAGCAAGTTGCTCAAGTTGGGGGTCCCGGATCCCTCGAATTTTCCGTGACAACAAGGAGGATTGATCTTGAACAAGTCCGGCGAGGGGCTGCGTACTGTAGGCTGTAGCTCTTCGTTTTTGAGCTTCGACTGCTTAGGGTTGCTGCGTATAGGGTTCAGGGCTTGGGATTTACTAGTTCAGGTTTCAGGGTTTCGGGTTTCGCATGCGATTTGACAGATTGTTTGTTTCTAGGTACTCTAGTTTAGGGCTCGGGGTTTCAGGTTGCAGGTTTTAGTGCTTGAGGTTTGGAGATCCGTGGTTTCTGCGAGTCTAAGTTACGCTCGACCAAGACCCCGGCCGCTACTACCACGTCCGGGGCACAAGGTGAGTGAAACTCTTGCTGGTGTATCATGCAGCAAACCGCTCCTTGCCAAGGAACATAACCACAGATGCAGCTGGCCCTCTGAAATGCGGCATTTTGCGGACATTGTGAATGCCCTTTGTCCAGGGGCAAACATTAAATTCTCAGAGAACGAGAATCCGCAGCAGTTGAAGGAATCTGCTTTGCCTTCAGCATCTGACTAACACAGGCAAGGCCTGTCTGTGCAATGCAGCTGTTTCAATGCCACAGCACTTCAGTGATCCCAGTGGAAAAAGGAATTCCTTTTTTGGGTCGACCATCTTCAGAAGGAACCCTACAAAAACATAGGGAGACAAGCTCCAATCCGTTCCCCCTATTGAAAAAGGTCTCCCTAATTAATAGTAAATAATTGTTTCAGAAGTCCCAAATCCGTGAATACTACTTTTCCCAGAGAATCCATGTAGGCAAATATGGCATACATTGAAATGTAGCCATTTTTTGGGTACATTGGTACGTAGCCAAAAAATGACGACATTGTCGGAATTTGTCGGAGCTCCCGTCGGACAGTCAAAATATAACCCGAGAATGGCATCGTTTGGAAACGCCCCCGTCGGACAGTCAAAATCCCGTCCAGAAGTGACCACGTTTGTCAGTCCCAATCACCATCGCACGAGGTCAAATAATCTTTCTTACCAGCCTGCACACTTAGCCGCAAACATACCGCACAAAGCCCCCTTTGCTACACAAGTCTATTCCGTTTGAGCAGTATTCGTCGCAGTGTTGACATAACCACTTCAAAGTATGGATGTTTGGGGAGCAATGGGTAAAACATCAAACATGGTTTTGGTTGCGTGTTACCTGCAGTAGTAACCGGTGACTTGCACGGAGCCCATTCTTTTTGAACGAGCATGGATACTGTCAGCATACTCTGCGCTTGCAATTCTCGCTGGTGAAATGCAGACTTCGTGTATGTGCACAGACGAGGAGACCATGCAAAATACGAACGAGTTATACGCTTGTATTGCGATACGCACCACTTTCTGCACACTGTGACACTTATTGACAGCCACTCCAATATACTCCAATTGTCAACATCGCAATGCAAATCATTGGCACGACGGCGTTTGCCGCTAAAAGTCGGGACTTGTTACCAGAAGCCCTCACTCCCAACCAGAAAGGAGGTAAATGTAACATAAGCGTTAACAGTTATTATCTAGGTAATCTCCCTTATTTTACCCAACAGCTACCAGCGGGGTAGCTAATTTTCAAAACTACTTCAAACTTGGGATTGCGACAGCTGAGTTTGGGCATGATTTTGGTTGCGCGTAGGCATTCTGTTTGGGACTTAGAAATGCTGGCTCCTTACTGACTGCGAGATGAGGAGTCCAAAGCAAAATATTGGCCACTCAGGCTCCTGCATCTATCCAGCACTCAAACCTGCATTTATCCAGGAAGAAGGCTTCTTATTATGCGAAAAGGGTGTTAAAAAGTAATTTGCTAAAACACGGTTCAAATTGGTCAGGCAGATGAAGCAATAACATATTTGTGCACAATGCATACAAATAGATATTATTTTTGTCTCGATGTACTGTGTAATGACACAAAG